ATGATACTAATTTTACCAGCCCAAACTTTTACGGGGCCGTACGTGTTACCCGCGGGTACTGGGAGGCTGAATTTAAATTTTCAGGATCACACGTGGGTGGGGAATGTTACCCTAAATTTTCAGTTCCCTAGCTTTTGTGGTTCCCGAGTTGAAAGTTGCGGACAAGTTTCTGCGGACATACACACACAGATAATCCCATGACAATATGCGTTTTGTACTGCTGTTACATAACACAAAACGCATAATAAAAGGATTGGATTTAAGTGTCATGCGTAAGACCACATTTTACGATGCATTGTGTGTTTCATCCCTTAGCTATAAAACACAGACCGAATTATGCGTGCGGGTGGGAGCGAAAGTCATCAGTACAGCCTCCTACCCCCATGTACTGAACAGCCATGTAACTAATTTGCAAGACGGATATGCGAAAGAGAGAGAAAACAGAAAAAGAACAAATAGACTGAGAAAGGAGTGAAAGAAAAAGAAGTTAGCTCAAGTTACGGAAAGCTATTATATGTAAATTACGATGAAATGCTTTTTACGAGGAAGCGTTTAATTTTCGTATCATTAGGAAAAATGAATTTACTGAGAACACACCGGTTCCTGAATCAGAATTTGAGAACGGGGCGTTCTATTTTGGAAATATCAAACTTTTTATGTCTATAAATATAAGCCGTCTAGCCCAGTAATGGAACCCCTCTGGAAGAGTACAAATACGTGCATACCGAACTATCTGCGATATAAACACCTTCTTGCACCGTTTGGTGCATATCTCTGTCGGCGTACCGTCTGTGATTTACAGTGAATGGGTAGTCCAAGGTCTTTGTATATGCTGAAAATACATCTGCTCTCTTGGCACAAAATAACGAGGTTCAAAAAACAAGCCCTTTGTCTGGAGTAAGTGGTGTTAAGTTGCAGGACTAAGCTCATAGATGTTACTGGCAATTTCAGTAAAATTGGCGTAATTAGTAATAAGGATTTCATCAGTATGGAGACGAATCCCTGGATTCGTACGAAGAAACCGATTCTCTACGATTGACAATGTGAGATCGGCAATATGAGGACTAGCATTACCACCCATTGGTACACCTTGTACTTGCTTGAAAATGTAACCGTGTTTCACGAAGATTGGTCCGAAGCATTGCCATGACTTCATCTTTAGTATAAGATATGATGTCACCTGGGAATTCCTGAGCATACCAAGTTTGGGTTTTACTTAGTCCAGTCTATTCTTTTCCGAATTGATGAAGCAGAGGTGAATGAGATAGAATAGATTAGCATTAGTGTGAGAATGTGGCAGGCTAGTGAAAAGGTTGCTGAAGTCTGCGATATGTAAATATTCGGTCGTACTGTCTAGTGTGGCCAACTTTTGTATCACATTAATGAATTGCTATTGCTAAAGTAAACTGGCAGCCCATTGCGCGTAGACGTTTGCATACAGTAACTGCGGAAGTGAGTCAATATACGAATGAATCAATATACGGTGCAGAGTAATCGAGAGAGTTCGGAGGGATGATTCATTTGCTGCAGCAATGAATCTATATTCATAGGGGATTTATATGACGTTTGGGAGTAGCATAGATGGG